AGAGTTATGGTACTCGTATTACAATAACTTTAAGAGCAAGTCATTATCAGGATTAGTTATTCAAGGGGATTATGAACGAAAGTGAATAGTGGGCGGACGTGGGTCTGGTGCACGCTATGTTAGTAGCACCACAAGGACAGCACCCACGTATAACTAATATTATATTCAAAGTTAATAGATTTGATTTTATGACATCATCAAACGGAAAACTCGCTCTACAACATTTATTATAAAGTTTTGGACATGACAAACATTTCTAGTCAGAATTTAACTCGAGTAAATCAGATACAGCATTAACTAAAATAGTCAACCAACCCGTACTTGGCCAGCGTGGTTGACTACGGCCTAGTCACCCCTAACTTAGGGTAGGCTTCGAGGGGGAGAGAATCCCACATAACTACCGTGCCTACCGCGAGGCATGAAGTATGCCTCAAGCATTCCCCTCAGAAAAAAAGGGTAGGCTTCGAGCACTCGGTGGGGACGTCCAGTAAGGTGATGATTAATTAACTAAAATAAACATAAATCATGGAAATGTTGGTTGTAAAGCTATTGAATAAACTGACGTGTAAACTCATTTACAAGATAAAGAAATTGCTATCGTACAAAGACACAATTTTGTATTACGGTATAATAACTAAGAATAACAGTAACCCTATTAGAGCATTTGTTGCATTCCGTTAACGAGGTTATGTCAGACTCTGTCAAAAATCAGCCCGTAGCTAATTAAAAGTAATGAACTGTTAAACAGTCGCCGAGTTTCCAAATGCGTGGCTTGGCTAAGAGAACTATACACGCACGCGAATCTCCTAATTAGAGTATGGGACACGAACATCAATTAGGAAACAGTTGAAAGTTACTTAGTTAATACTGAGTTCATTGAAATTTTTGAATTTAGAACATGAGTTCAATACTTGGCGATTGTATTTTTGTACAAAATCGTGCAAAACATTAAAATTCGTATCCCGTCAATGGCCATATAAACAAGGACGTACAGATCAGAGCGTCCCCATTCACCTGACACGGGTCGTATTAGCATACTCGTTGTCATTGTGGTCGCGTCGCACCATCGGGGACGAAGAAAGTGGTTCATCTTCGAAAAATGACCATACGCGGTACCGTAGGTGCGGATTTACATTATAAATAATGTGGGCTAGCGTGTTCTTAGCCTTCGGGTGACGAACTCGCTGCGGCCATACCACTGCTAATATGTGTGACCGGTCCGGTTTGTTTGTACCACACCTATACTTGCTGCAGAGATTTCCTATGTTATTTCTATTAATAATTGAAGACAGATTGTTCATCGTGGTAGTTTGACTCATTCGTCTTATAAAGGAATTAAATGAATATGTAATAAAGTTTCGTTTAGTTATTTTACGGAGAACGCTATCTACAATTTCCCGGGCGTGTACATCGCGTGACTTTATGAGCATTTTTGAAATTTGATTTGTAAAATGATTTCACGTTTACGATAGGTTTTGAAATAAGTTACAATTTCACTTGTATTCTGCGCTCGTGTAAATCATATTTGTGATACATGAAAAAAAAAGTATTTTTTCTTGACTTTTATAATATTGTCATTTCGTATGTTAAGAAGAGTGTGTGTTTTTGTTACTTGTTAAAAATAGATTACAATTCTCAAACGAAGATGTTTAGCAAATAGTTACATCAACAGACTAAACAATCTTTTTCTATTATGATCTCGCTGTACTAGATAGCATCATGATGTACTATTGACGTCATTGGTGATGTTACTGCATACTTATGACGATTTTAAAACTAATGTTCCTTTCGTACTTGCATAAACTATACTAAGTAAGAAGACATTACATCTATGATAACTAATGATTATTAGTGTAGTAGTATATGAATATTGACTATGTAAAGAAAGTAGAGAGAATTTGAACCTCGCTTCTAGTTTCTCGACTTTTAAAACATTTTTGGAACATAGGTTTTCTATTATTCTTTCTCTGGTGTGCATTCTTAGTGGCTTATTTGTGATATTTTTGAGGTCTGTCTTTCCGCTAAAAGGCAGGACGACTTTTAAAGATTTCCCGCCGATACCAAAGAATTATGTAAACGTAGTTCATAAATTGCTGAATGCGGAAAAAACGGCAAATAGAGATTATGAACATCACAAATTGTGAATAACATGAAGTCGGTGGTATTGCGAACCGGTTGATAAATGCTGTGTTGGTGCCGCCAAACTTGTCCGGTATTCCGAACGTATGAACTAAGATAGATAATATTAATTGAAAATAATATTTTCATTTTATCCTCTTTCATACAAAAACACTCGTAACATTACCGGTATTCGAGCGAATGTTTTTTTTCTTTTATGCCAGGAACATTTCAAACCAATATTTGACAACTTTATTGATATTTTTTTAAAAGCAAAATAAATGTGAGATAGCGCCAAATATAATCTATGGTTGTTGAATTTATAGAAATTAGTCTCCGGTTTGTGACCTTTTTTCTATCGATAATTCGGAGAGTGCAACTAGCGTGCGGTGATTATACTACAAAGGGTTAACAATCTGTTGTGCGGTCAAAGGTTAGCTTTGACTCAGATTAATTCTAATCTAATGAATACCAATAGATTTATTTGTGAAATAAAAAGTAAGAACGATTACATATAATTATGGATATCTTAAGAAAAATATGTTTTTAAATATTTTAACTATGATGACGTCATACATTGTAATTCCACTTGATTCAAAGTTACGTATATTTTAAAATTGTTATTAAATTTCTTATTTCATATTTTTTCTACAGATTATTTATAACTTAAAAGCCTATACTTAGATCGTAAACTTTAATAAGTTAACTATCAGCTAATTATATCTATTATCTATAGATATTATAACGGTATTAAACATGTTGGTCGGTTGTAACAGCACAATATGACGACATAGGCTCAAATTACTGCACCGAGCAATATCCCTCACAACGATACTCTGTTGCAACTCCTAGCATCTATTATTGATAGACAAACATTTTTATCGCTTACCTAGTTATTTAATCATGATCTACTAATTAATAAAATAAGGTTAGCAAAAAAATTACAAGGATCCATATATAACAGGTGATTGAAAAATTATCAAGATTGGCAAAATATTTTTTGAATTGACTGGAAATTGGTTTCAAATATGTTAGTCTGTCTACAGGCTGAAACCTAGATGACTATATTTTCTATCATTTCTTATGGATTACATGTCAAAATATTTATATACTAACATTTATTTATTATTGACATCCATAGTTACTATGTCACTTTGGGTGGCTGCACCAGCGGAGTAATATAGTTAATATGTAAAAATTATTTTATAATATAAAACATGTTACTAATACTATGTTTTATAATTTAGAAGCTATGGTATATTGCATAAGCTGTTAGAAACAACTAGTGTAAACAACTTATAGTTCAAAACTAGGGCACTAATGACATAAGGCTATCAACTAAACAGATGTCAAGGCTCTGTGACACCCTTTACATTTCACACTGATTATTAATAAAAATAAATTTAATTTGAATATTAGCTTTAAAAAAAACTTAATCATCCTATGTTCTACATCTATGCCAAAACATCAGGTTCCGTTAATTGTATAATGGTTTGAATAAAAAAAAACTGCACAAAGTTTAAATATTAGAAAAAAATGTCAAAGTGTACAAAAATGTAATTTATTTCAATGAAAACGTTAAAAATCTAGTTGTGATAACTTGTAATATCAAGAAAAGATGAATAATTCATTAAAAATTTAAAAGGTCCTAGAATTGTTAAGCTTAAAATAAAATAAATTGTTCACACTAAAATCATCATAATAATGACTGTTTAATTGCCCTTATCACTATGTAAGTAAAGCTATTTTAAACTCATAATCACTAATGCTCCATTAAAAAACTATTTCACTAATGAAAATTTACGTCTCATAAATTTATAAAATTCCTAAGATGCACATTTTTAAAGAATTATTAATTATTATTGTATTAGTTGTTGATTACATAAAATAATGATGTTTATATATTTTGTTACTTGTAATTCTTATAAGAAATATTTATTGTAGATAAAAATTGTACAATAGAAAATTAAATAAAAAAAAAAAAAATTAAATAGATAAACTATCAGTTAACTCATGATGAGTTTATCCTTTATCTTTACACACTTTTTATTATTTATTCTCAAAGGGCTAACAGATAAATGTATGTGAATGACCATTTATTACAGTTTGTTAATGTATTTTGGAGCTATGGGCCGGCTGCCAGAATAGGTCAACAGCCTAGAATGTTCATTATTTGCATGCTCATACAAATTGCAGCATGAAACCTTAAGTTATTATATTTATGAATATATAACTTTCTAAATTGAGTAACATTTTGTGACAATTTCAGAAAGAATTAAACATCAGAATATATATTTATTTTAATCAACACACATCTTGAATAATACTCTAGACAGCACCACCATGTGTCTGTCTCCGTTCCCAGCTATTAGCTCACTGTTGCTACCGAATGAGTTATTTATAAAATATGGAACACTTTCCTTAATATTGAGTTGCTAGGTATATATAGCACACATTGACATATTTAAAGGACTTGTATGAATATTTAACATGAATAATTAATATATTAAAATGTGTAACCAGGCATCTACTATCCAAATTTATCTCGTCTGCAGCAACCTAAAAATAGTCACCAGCAATACCCTGGAATTGATAAGGCGGGCGCTCGCGATAAACGCTGCAAGACGCAGAGAACCAAGTCAGCTGAGTCTAAGTAAACACGATGCATAAAGGCGTTCAATCAAGATCGCTCGGCGCTCCGCAGGCTCTCAATCAACAGGTGGAAAGGACGTAAGTTAGGCGACGCGCCGAAGCATCTCGGGCACGTTAATACCAGAGGTCGACTGAACCCCACAGGCTACTTTCACGACACAAACAGCAATAGTTTTAACACCAACACCATGAAACTCTTCACACGATTCAAATAACAAAACCATAAATACCTTTTCTTTCGCCCGTCCAGCATGTTTTTGCACTGTTTTCGCAATTAACGCACCTTTACTTTCTGCCATTTCTCTCACTTTTTCATTACCGACAGTTTACAAAATCGTACACACCAGTCTGCAACAGATACAGTTGCAGTTTGCTGTCACACGTCAAAACTCAAATGCCGCAGGATTGCACTGGCGTGACGTGCCTCCCACTTTCGTATCCGACACGAATTGAGATAAAGTTTAAATCAACAAAATAAATTCCTACGTTAGATGGCGCTGTGCATTAGAATTGGCACGCTGTTTAAGCTGACGGATAGATGTCGCTTTTCCTGTAAAATTTATGAAACCATAGACACACGGAAAAAATGTTGCCAACACCAAAATGAATTTAATTTATGGTTGTTTTCAAACATGACTTTAATCATTTTCGTTTTTTATAAAAATATAACAAGCATAAGTGGTAAAATTGTTGTGAAACTAAATTTTCATAATAAATAAAATAATTTGAATTAAAAAAATTATGATTGCTTTTGTGCTGTTTGTGAGTTTGCGATATCTATGATATTCTGACAACTGTTAATTTCAAAAATGAAATTATAAACAAATTTCAAATTTAGAATTTGTATTGCAAAATTTTGATACAGAAACTCTCTTTTCTTTGAATGATTATTTTAATTTCCTTCTTAAAGTAATTTTAATAACCCCTATTATGGTGAGCATATTATTCAGGGTTCATCACTTCCATTAATTTTACTTGATAATAAACGGAATTTATTTTGTGTTTACAGGAGCCAAAGAACGAACTACAAAGAAATGCAATCGCATTAGCAAGGAGAAAGGAATTGGAGACATACCAACGTGCGCTGGATATTCAATGGCTGAACAGTCGGATGGACGACAGCCACATCGGCCGTCATCTCGCACAGATAAATCAAGAGGCGGAAATGGAGAGAGATTTTCAAGAGGTATACTAGCTAAAATTAATCATGAATAAATTAGTAAATTTGACGACTTGAAGTATTCCTAGGGTGTTACAAAATATCTATTTCTGTGTTCCTATACTAAGGTTATTTAACATTTATAAATTATATGTGCTAAGTAAAGTTCACACAATTTTTCTTAAAGTTCTAGTTTTTTTATATTTTAAATAATTTCCAGAGAACAGATCATTCAGCAATGGTGAATGCTAGAACACAGAAAGAGATTGCATTGGCCAGCGAGATAGCTAAACATAATCAGGAGGAGATCTGTCAGCTGCAGCGTAGACATTACCTTAGAGAGCGGGACCCGGAGCTACGGGCACTGCTGCGAAGGCTGCAGGATGGCTATGTCTGCCGGGACTTGAAGCAGCAGATGCTGCATAATCAGTACAAGCGATTGCAGGATGAAGTAAGTTAACAATTGAAAACTGAACTCTGTTGCTTTAAGGTGATATGTGAAGAAATTTTATACAAATAACTTATGTTTTCTTGCATTTCAAAATATTTAAATTTTCATTTCATAGTAAGTTTCATATTTTAAATATAAAAAATATTTACAAAGCAGTCAATTTACAAAAATGATTGCTAAATTGTGACCCTCTTTTTAATTACAATTTTTAGTGTCAATTTGAGACATTAACATTTATTTTTTCAGGCAGAAGATAGACAACAAAACAGAATCTTAATGAGTGCATTAGCTATTGACGCTGAAGCAGTCAAAAGAGAAGAGAAAGAAGCAATGGAGAGGAAGGCCAAACTTCTTCTGGAAATGCAGCAGCAGCTGGTGGACAGGCAGAGAGTGAAGCAGTGCCAGTTTGAGGAGACAATGATTGAAAAGAAGATGCTAGAAGAAGTTATGAGAACAATAGCCGATGAAGATCACAGGTTTATATTTACATAGACCAGAAAATAGATAATTGTATTGTCTGAAAACTAAATGAGTTAGACTAAACTAACATAGTAAGTTATTTAAAAGCAAATACTCTACAAAGTTTAATAATGTTTGGATATTTTGACTTATTTCCTTTTAAAATTGTTTGTCTATAGTCATATTTTGAAATCAATTTTTTAATAAAAAATGTTAAATGTAACATTGAAAATTTTGTATGTGCAGGGAATTGGAGCAGAAGCGTGAACTGGCGGTGAAGTTAAACAAGGAGATAGAGACTTTCAAGAAAGCTCGGGAAGCGTGGAAGGAGAAGCAGAAAAAACTCCTCGTCATCGAGGAGAGGAATATTGAGAATCAGATAAAACAAGCCGGAGACAGGAGCACGGCCATGTTAGTGAATACTAAATATTTATCCATATTCAATTTTATAATAACACTAAAGAACCTTGAAAGTGCTCATTATTAAGAATTTTTTGTAATTACTTAATTTTTTTCAATTGCAAGATGTAAAGGTTAATGGTTAATGGAATGAAATAAACTCGTAATGTTGTTTTCAGAATAGAAGAAAGAGAGAGAAAGTTTCGCGAAAGGGAGATGCTGAATGAAAAAATTGCCGCGAAAATTATGGCGGATAGGGTTAGTTGTCAAACTGATTACATTCCAAGGAAATGTTTGGAAGTAAATAAATTTAACATCAGTAGTAATCGTAATTTCCGTAAACATTTCAGGCCGCGATACTGGAACGCGAAGATATAATAAGAAGTCTTCAGGAGCAGGAGTACCTGGAGAAGAACATCCAAGAGGACATAGCGGAGGTGAAGAAGGCGGCTCGCAGCAAGCGCGACACCGAGGCGGCCCTCACGATGCAGATGCAGGCGCGGCGTCAGCGAGCACTGCACCATTCACAGCAAGAGGCGGACTTCAGGAAACAGGTACCTCCGACCTCCACCAGCCCACATCATACTGACTGATGGAACAATGAGCCTAAGTCTTACACCAGGTATGTGGCTCTCATGTCATGTGATTGTTTTACTCAGTGTGAGCAACTCTCTGTCAATGTACCTGCATGTTATAAATGTAGAGTCGGCAAAAACATTTTGAACATGAATGGGCTTTCCCGGTGCAATATCACCACCACACAGAACACATGCCTCAAGTGGAAGTCACTCTGCGCTCATTCTGATCACTGTGTATTCCGGAGGACTCATTTAAGTCCCTTTCTCCTTTGATATGCCTAGAATAAAAAAAATAAGGACTGAATCTTATTTCCTTTTATAATCCTCATATTACATATTTAATGGTAAAACACGTTAAATTATAAATATTTGTAGAAAATAATTCATATTTTGCTATGTAACTATGGAATTTAGTCAGTATAATATATAGAAATATTTTTTTTAACAAATCATAACTTTATTAAAGATTTTTAAAATAAAATATATATTGTAGTCGGAAGCGCACATGGAGGCTCTCAAGCAGAAAGATTTGGAGAAGGAGCGGCAGGTGAAGGAGAAGAAGCGTCAGTACGCGCTGGAGCTGAAGCAGCAGATGGCGGAGGACGCCAGGAGACGTCAGCACCAGAAGCAGCAGGAGGACCAAGAGGCCAAATATGTGTTCGATACTGAGAAGGCTTGGTCAGTTATACTCAAACTATATTAATCTTACTAATATTATAAATGCGAATGTTTAGATGGATGTCTGTTTGAAGATATCTCAGGAACAGCGACATGGATCTCCCTGAAATTTAGCACAGATGTAGAACAAAGATTGGAAGAACTCATAGGCTACTAATTTACTTTTTCTTTAATTTCGCGGGGACGGAGTCGCGGGCGACAGATAGTATTTGCTATTTCGTCTAATTCGTCTAGGTTCCGTTAGCTCGGTGCAACCTAATAATATATAAAAATATCAGGTTGTGTGAGACGGCGGAGGAGCGCAAGCGCATCGTGTCTGCGCACGCGGCCCGTCTGCTGGGCTACCTGCAGCCCGCCACCCTGCTGCCTGAGGACCTGCCGCTGCTGCAGCACGCCGCCGCTCAGGACCCTCACCTCCACCACCTGCAGCTGGACGCCCTCGCAAACGCCGACAAACCCGTCAGGCTGCCCAAATGTAACTCACAGTGCAGAATTCTCAGAGAATATTGATCAACCTCGCTGTTCTCATTGCTCAAATATTTGTTTAAAAACATCAAAACGTAGACATGGACGTAGAGATGCAGTTACATCAGTCAAACTCTACATTAATATCGTATGTCATGATATATTTGTTAATCAAGTTCTATATTGTGATGTATTGTAAACAAATTGTGTTTTAAAAAATTCAATAAATGTTATATTTTTGTAATTGTTTTGTTAATTTTATTAAAACTTGCTGCCGGAAATATTGGTACTGATTGATTACTTCAGCAACTCCTTACTAAAGACCATGATTGCGATAGTTAAATCAATGGAATTAATACGTAATTAAGAAAAACTGTTGATATAGAAATGAGGTGATGTTTGTATTTTTGTAATATAAAAGTACATCTGGTTACACAAACAACAGGAGAGGAGCAAACAACAATCAGCGGCCGAAACTCGCACAATTAATTCTCAATACGCCGCACGAATATTAAAAGGGGTGGACTGGACTGTAGGGTGACCAACCAAAAAAGAAGTTGATTCTGTGTGCTAACAGCCCAAAGTATTTAATTTCCAAGGTAAGAAAGTCTCAGTAATGTAACACATTCGCCACTATCTTTTTTCGTATAAAAGTAATCTCGCCCAGTCATTTAGTGACACTGAACGTGTTAAGTCTGATTTTTAATTGTTTGCATAATTACTTTTGTCAAAGTTTTGTCGATTTACCGAAGTATTTCATCTCTCTCTCTCTCTTTAATATTTTTATTTTCTAATATGAGAAATTGTAGACTAGATCCATCTATTCAAAATCCAAAACGAAGGAAGGAAATCCACGTAATATTCCTGTATTTTCAGCGACATGGTCACCCAAACTAATATTAAAAGTTAGCATTTTTGTGCAATAAAGAAATACAAAGTGCCACGTCAGCGATTTGAGCGCACGGCCGCAGTCCACCCTTTGTAAAAATCATCCCCCTACCACTGGCCAACCCTTACACATTAAATCGACACTTCATATCGTTTTTATTCTGTACCACGTGTCCTTATCTACTGATGACATTAAACGCACGTTTGTTTCATTACAACACAACCTATTATACTGAGAACATAACGTTTATTTAATGTGCCTTTTAGACATTTATATATGCTATTATTTTATATGTTTTTTAACATATAAAATATTAGCATAATAATGTTCAAAGTCTTATAAAACAGTTGAATGTGGAATCCTCATACAACTTTATTCCTCTTGTATTGTGGTGACCACTTGATGCTTCTCCAAGACTCCTCGTTTCTTCATTTTCTCTACAAACTTCTGCTGCAGCAACAAGATTTCCCTGTCATCATGCAGTCTGTTCACCTCTCGTTTGCCCCATGGCGTGTTCTCATCGTACCACTCCTGGTACTTTTTGTAGTCCTGGGAAAATTATGGAAATGTAACCAAAGTATAATCTTGTAATAACTATTATAAATCTTTTCAATTATCTTGTCGGCTCAACATCATGTGCGCTCTGCGTAGTGCTCTAACCCCGCATCCCGCTACACCTAAACTTTTCTTTTCTACGCAGCAACTCGCGCGAAATTAGGAGCCGGCAAGATATCTTAAAATGTGTATACCTTATCAATCAAATTAAATAAATAAGCAGATTTATAGACATACAACTTTGTTATCTTCGTTTTCTGTGACATGGTCGAGTACTTCTTGCGGGGACAAGCCATATGCAGCAATCCTAAAACAATTTTAAGTTCATTTAACAGTTTACTAAAATAGCAGGTTTTTTCAATCACCAGATCTTACATCAGTCATGTTCTAATTTGTTTAAGACTAACTTTATAACATTGTCAGGCGTCAGGAAACTGTTGAGTGCATCTCTGATATGTCCAAATGAGTATGCCTTTAGAAGTTGTGCGATGCTCTGCGTGTTTAGATCCCGCGGGACCATGCGGTTGCTGCAACATGAGTATCTTTGAATTAATATTGTTAACAGTATGTCCAGGAAGGTCTGCTTTAATGACCAATTAATATAATAATTATTAGTGCGTTAGTAACTTATTATTTAAGTTGGTAGTTAGCTCATCAGTCTATGATGTAATTTTAAATAAGATTAGGTTACTCAGTCATCCATTTCTTCACGATGAAGGAAACAGTACTGTACGTAGTGGGCGGCATCATGATAACATCTGGAAAGTTCTTGAGTAGTTTGTTTGTTTTCGTCAACCAAGGATCACAACAACTGCCTAAAATGTAAGTTAATAAATTAAAAATTGAACACATATTTTAATTGTAAAAATGTTATTACGTACCTATAACTATAATCAAATCATTTTTGTGTATTTTCTTCAACAACATACGCACGAAATATTGTGCAAACATATTCAAGTTCTGTTTGTTCTGTTCTGGTGGTACCTGAAATATTCGAGGAGATTTAAACACGTTAAATGACACTACGATTTTTAAGTTATATCCTAACAGGGTGGTAGCATTGAATGTGTTAAATAAGAATTCAATAGAACTTTCTATCTGTGATAGTCTACCAAGGTCTCGTATAGTTTCTTCATCGTTTCGCATAATTTTAAATAATGTAACGTATTTGATTGTTGCACCTTTTTACAATACAGCAGATGCAAAGACTTAAGATGTATAACAGCGGGCTGTGTCGCTCTGGCACACGTCACCACAGAGCTGACAACTTGTCTGAGATGTGCCGGGGATATGAGCTCTGGCGAGACATTTACTGGGTCCAGTTCGAATAGTACTGCATCTGAAACAAATTTGTGTTGCCAAATAGTAAATACTTATGAAAAGTAGCTAATGAGTCTCGTATTAAAGAAGTTTATGTGTTGCAGTTCCATATAACAAACCCTAGAAATTATAAGAACATTCACTTCATAAAACAATGTATGTTACAGCTTTTGATGTGTATTTCGTCGTACAATTATATTACTTTCAACTTTGGTCGAGTACTGCTAGACAATCTCTCCACCACTTCCCATACATCAACCCTCTGCTGCCTTTAGTTAGTTCTGCAAAATACTATAAAATTATTACAGACTTTATAAGACTTACCGTTGACAGATGATAGTATATTCACCAACGTGGTCTTCCCACTACCACGTGGCCCCACCAACAGTAGTCTCCGGGCACCCAACACCAGCTCGCCGCTCTTCTCCCACCACAGAAACCGAGTCTCACCACAGAGAGGTTCTGCACGTCTATATAAAAATATTAACTTTGTAATATTATAAATTGCAACCACAAAACTCATGCCCGTATGACAAAATTTGTTTATAAATGTATTTTTTACCGTAAAATACAACGAAGTGTTTCTCCTACGAAATTAAAATCTCCTTCAAAATCTTCGAATTTCATACTTGTCTTTTCTTTCAAGTAGCCCGAAGATGCCAGTTCCTACAAAAACTAATCTTAATAATCTTTTGTTATTATTCAATAAAGTTAATCGCCTTTTGTATTCCAACCTGCATTTTTTCTTGTACGCTCTCAGATATTGTAAAGTCGACTCTATGTTTCTTTGCTTTCTTTTGTTTAACTTTCATATTTTCCGGCATCTTTTCATTGTTCCTCTTGTATTCAGATTGCAAAGCGCGTTTCAGAATCTGCAGCTCTTGTCTGAAATATTTCGTAACAGCAAGATCTTTTTAGTCTTCAGAAGAGAAAAAAAATTATGCTATTCAAATATTATTTTGAGATTATATTTTTATAGTGAACTCAGGTGTACAAACACAGGCTTCTTATGTTTATACAATTGCCAAAATTATTATTGTTCGGGAAATGTTTGTTTTATAACAATTTTGTGTTACAAAAGGAAAGTTTTTTACCCTGTTACAAACTTGCAGTAGTTGTTTGAGGAGTCTCAATTGATCATAGTTAAGTGAAAACGTTAAAAATAACAATTAGGTATAGTATTAACCTCATATCTTCATCAACTGCTTTCAATATTTTTAATTTCGTGTTCATACATGCATTTTCATGGTCTATCTGTTGCACAAATCCCTCCTTATATCCTTCAGTTTCCCAAGTATCAAAATCATTCCAATCCTTTCTATACTTGTCTATTGTCTGAAGAACAAAAAGTTAACCTTAAAATTGATTTGTTTCATTTTTAATACAATTTACTTAAACTGGTGAATATTGACCAACCTCTAAAATATTTTCTGTCTTCTTCGACATCGGATAATGAAAACCGGGATGTTGTTTAGGATTTTTCATCATTTTCTTTATTAATTCTTGTTCCATTTTTAATATTCTTTGCTCCTCTTTCTTTAGTTTAAGTTCTTCCTTTTTTGCTTCTTGTTTTTCAAACTTTTTCTGCGTTATAAATTTTAATACTTCAAAATAATTTAATTGTATTTCATTAATTAAAACAAACTTAAATACCTGAGCACTTGTTTTATTTTTATTTGATTTTTTTTCTTGTAAATATGCTTCGTATTCTTCTAACCATTCGGATGGGGTAGGTACCATTTCTTTGATAATCAAGGAAGATCCACCAAATTCTTCTTTTGGTATATCATAGAAAAACTTTACGTCTACATACCTTTAAATAATTTAAGTTTTGAAAAATAAACTTTTATGTAAATAGTTTCAACCAAAATCTCAACCAATTTACCATTTTTTAAACCAGTCTCTGATAAAGTCTCTATATTCATCGGCAGTGTTGTTGTCTGTTTGTTTCAAGTAGTTTGTTTCCATTGTTTTTATTTTAGATAAATTCTCTTCTTTGTATTGCTTTTGTTTATCAATGCGTTGATCTTTAACCTGTAACTTTTGTAAGTTATATGCGAATTTAACTTATATATTACACGCTGAGATAAAAGTGTACCGTTAGATACTTTGATTTCTCCTCATAATTTGGTTTGGTGCAGATATTAATATCAATCATCTCATCAATTTTACATTGTCTAACTCGATGTCTTTTTATTTCGAAATACATTCTGAAAAAGCATGATATTTTATAAAATTAACCGTATTAAAAATCCGTTATAATTCTACAAAATTGTCAACAAGAGCTAGTGATATTATTACCTGAAAACTTTTTTAATGAGTGCTGCAGCTCTTTCCTTAATTTCAAATGTTGCTTGTGGTTTTGCTGTGCCATTTAAATCTTTTTCCCATTTCTCTCTTTTAAATTTCCTTCTTGTGTCCCATCGTATAAATTGACTGATAAAAAACTTAATATTAATTCGTGTTCACACTCCTACGAAACTGTGTCCGGTATTTGGACGACCCAATCCAACAACCAACCAAACGAAACGACCGAACACTAGATAACACAAGCGACCTCAAGAACACAAGTAAAGCCACCGAAGAAATCGCGACATGCAAGGAGTATATGTATAGCAAGAAAACACATCAATATCGTTATATAATAAACATACAGCGCCATCTGTTGTGTAGGATCGGAAACGGCGCCAACAATTCGAAAGATTAAGAATTTAGGTACAAAGTATTAAAGACTTACCGGGAGCGCTCATGCGCTTGAATTAGTTTTATCATTTCCATTCGTTTGAGACTTTCTTCAGAAAGTTGGGGAACGATTTCAGATGTATCTTTTTCAACCTCGTCACTTTCATTGTCACTTTCCCAGAAGCGTAAAAACGAGTTCGTTTCAGACGAGACTTTTTCTACTTCAACGACTTGAAAGGATTTGTTGATTATTATTTATTAAAATTATAATAACATAATAATATAACTAATTTTATATTACCTTCTTTTAAACATACTTCTTTCTCCATCTTAGCTCTCAATAGAACTTCATCGATCACAGCCTGGACTTGCTCAGATCTTGTAATTTTACTAGGGATATCTTTAGGGTCCGCGTCATCAAAGGTGAGTCCATGTTGAATTAATCCATTGCCAAAGTACTGATAATAATAGCCTTCAAGTTTTCGAAGTTGATGCTTAAGTTCCAATATTCTAAAGATGAAACGTTAACAGGAATTCATTTAGAATAGGTTTGAAAAAGTACAAGATTTTTACCTTTATACATATTTAAAAAGTCAGACATTTTTTTTTATAAGAGAAGGAGGCAAACAAGCAGCGGGAACACCGAGGTGTTCACCGATGCCCATGGACATGAGCAATACCAGAGGAACCGCAGATGCGTTGTCGGCCAAATTTTACCAATAAATTAAATTATACGGTTGTTTCTTATAACAATAACTTATGAAATAAATGTTTTTGGATTAAACAACGACATTTGACTTTACCTAGCTGTGATTGCATTGACTACATTCTGTATGTACTCAGTCTTCTGCACCTGCAAGCTCTGCTGCAAGCAGTCCACGCTGCTGTTGTAGAGTAACAGGTATTTGGACAGCACACAGCCCAAGCGCTGGACCGCCTCGCAGCATTTTTGATCATGTACTTTCGTTTCCTACAGTATATTTGGTGATAGTAAATTTTAGATGTCGAAAATTGACGTCAAACTTATTTTTTTTAAAATTAAAACTGGTTCTATTGTTCGGTATGAGATCATTTTAGTGGATAAAAACGAGGTTATTTATGTACTAGACGGTTTGCGATTTAAAATTATAAGTTACCTGATAATCCAAGTCAAGTTTAACATGTTTTTCTAGTTCTATCAGCACTTCCTTCCATTTGTTAAAATAATAATCACTCATTGTACTGAAATTTAGGAACACAGCAAGACAATATGTAATTACTTAACAAAAATAATCAAATTAATTTAGTTGGCCATGGCTGGAATGGTATCCAGCTTGTCTTCTATTATATTGGTTAAAAACTATTTCTTAACTATATATACATGTAGATGATATTTCTAATGAAAGTTTAGAACTGAACTTGAGGCCTTTAAAGCTTGGTATCAGATGAATGAAGTACTAAAATCATCATCATCAGCTCACTATACGTCCCCACCGAGGAGCTCGGAGCCTACCCTAAGTTAAGGGTGATTAGGCCATAGTCAACCACGCTGGCCAAGTGCGGGTTGGTTGACTTCACACATATCTTTGGATTTCTAGTACTAAAATACTTCGTTCATATTAAAAAAATTATAAATCATATTTGTATTATAAAGGTGCAAGCTTTGATGAGCCATTGGAAGCCGGCAAAGGGCAAACGATCACCATTACGTGTTATCATCGGCTGCGGAAAGCGCTATATCACCCCCGATGAGGGAAATAACCGATTCTACGTCAGAGGGCGCCCGCGTAGCTTGCCTTCAAACTTTACTACCACATAGATATCATATCACATATCATCTGCAAATAAATACCATCCTTAACTAGATGACTTTAAGTTCATTTTTATTTAACACGTTTTTGATGTTTAACCCCTTTACAAGGTTTTGTTTTTCATATTGTCAACTTTTCAGTTGTTCAATAAAAAATCTGCTTTGTGTCGCCATTGTTTGAGTAGGTTTTCGAAAGTTACAGCTTTCGAAGTCTGTACAATGGACAACATTGTTTTAGTAGAGTAAAAATTTTGTTGAGCTTTTTATTAATTTATCATAGATAAAATATAAAGTAGATACATCTACAAACTATTAAGATTTTTACATATAAAGTCTAACTTAAAAACTACTTGTCAATGTTTCTTTTAGAATTTGATTACATGTAAATACAATATTAATTTTTTTTTTGCGCTACGCGAGGCATTGAAATTTTTCGAAGATATAAAGATTAAAAAAGCTATCCGAATTAACTTGTACATTTATATTGAGTTCTCTTCTGTTCTGTCCAGGTTTGTTTCTCTCTCGTGAACAATTTGAAAAAAATAAAACTTGAAGAAAATTGGTTCAGTCAATGAGACGTGTTGGTAATAGACAATTTCAATCTCATTTGTAACGTAAGTCGAAACTTGTGTCGCGGGGTGTACATCTCTAGCGAGGTGTTTTATCGTGCCGCGCCGCAGCTTCCTGTTGCGCGCAGTGCCGCCATCTTGTCGCCGGAAGTAGTAAAGCCTTCCCCTCCTCCCCCGCGTCCTCCCCGCGCCCCAAATGTGCCGTTGGCATTTTCGTTTACGTGTCTTTTTATTTGGGGGCGCCGGAGGAACGCTGTTAGCGCCATTGTTTGTCCCTCGTAAAATTGTATTGTCTAACGCTGGCTGCTCCGAAATGGAGCGCCGCGCTGTGGAACATGTTCCTATTGAATTACGAAACACTTTCTGATGGCGTAACTTTTTAGTTTTAAAATTTAATTTTCACAGCAAATATTCTGTTAACACCAAGTTAGATTTAGTTTTAAATAACGTATCAAAATTGTTTTGTTTTAGAAATATTTCATTTGTCCTATATTCAAAGAATTGAGGTTTTATGGTTGTTAATAATACTGAAAATGTTTGTCTACAGAGCGTAATTATCCTACAAGAAAATAAACATAATAAAAACCTCAATAATGATTTTTAATCTTCTTAATATTCTTCAGTGTCACCGAAACCAAAGCTTTTGGGTTGAATCCTTTGTGTCGGGCGATGTTTTATCCACTTTTGATTTGACATTATGTTATTCAAGGCTTTTATTTGTAAGTTGTATGAATACACAATCCCAAAGGCGTTCGTAATCGACACTCTAATGGATTCCAAAGAGCGTACTCGCCCTCTCCAAGGATCTTGTCAAAATTCGATACACCTCGGGGGACGAAACAAAACTGAACGAAAAAAAAGATGCTATTTTACATCAAACGTCGTGAATATGTTATTGACGGGTGACACGTTTCGCTCCAGAGGTGATTACCAACTTTATTTGCTTTTCCATAAACCTAATCTACACCAATATGAACGTTAGTGCTCAGACAATAAGAACGTAGATGATAGCGTTAAGTTTTTACAGCTGTTTGTTATATTTTTGTTTGACAAGTGATGAAATACGTCGAGGGTTATAAAAGGATTCAAAGGTTTTTATAGTAATTTGCCGCGTAAAGTAGAGCGAAGCGGGATGATCGTGTTTTTATTAAGCTTCTTTGAACACAAAGAAATGTCGATTTTATTTTTAATCTACATATTGTATTTTGGTATATTTATGACATAATTTGAATATTATAGTTCTGTTAGCGTGTTTTGGGTGCTTAGATAAGTAATTTTAATCATTTCCAAAGCAGATGCAGGATTATTCGTATGACATAAGTGATATGTATCATCCCAAGAGAACTCATTACGCGGGTATATGTTGCAGATATCACATTGCAGAGGGCGCTTTGAATTTACTTTAACATACTTTCTTATCGGAATCAACTTAAAACCAGGTGAATTAACTCGATGTCTTTATTTTTTTTTTAATATTAATACATCTTAAAAGCCACATTTATGTACATTATAAAAGCCGTAGATTAGCTGTCTGGTGAGATGGTTGCGCCATTCCCCGGAGAGTGTAAGTAACGATGGCGTCACGCCATTACCGTCCTCACAAACAAAAGAGGCGACACGACGTTTCAAATTAACTTTCCTCGTAAATTGGCCACGCAAACAAGTTTCAAATTGCCCCGTAGAGGCGACGTTTTCGCTAAATACCTATAAAAATGTCCGGCATCCGTAAAATATTGCGAGTGATACTGCGGCGTAAGTCATAAGCGAAAGCGATTTTTTTATTTTTTTATGTCTAATCATTAATGAATTTGAAAATCTTATAAGAGTGCAGAAAGCGTCTCGATATTCACGTGACATAGTCAGAAATGATAATATGTTTTAATAAAGTGAATTTGGTGTCAGAAACTTACGGTTAATAATGTGTTATGCTATCTCACTCAATGTCGTGAATTCGCTTGCAGTGGACGGTTTTTTCAGCTGTTTGATTCTCTTTTATCGTGCAAGTTATATTACTAGAATGCCGGCATCACATGTGTATTTTAAGGGAATTATTGGCACTATAATTATTATCTCTAAAAATAAATTTCTTGTAATTGTCGTAGCGCTTGTCGCTTGTACCGTGTGATAGAGTGCGCGGAAGAAGTGTGTATAAATTGTGGCACTTACCACGTCCGAATGGCACATTCCGGCTGATACGGCGCCGAGAGAGATACTTTACCGCCCCCGCAACCTGAAATATCGACGTTCATTATCTGCTCGCGAAGAATTAAACTGTGAACAGCTTTCGTATTAGCGTTCATAATTCACAGAGTTTTGGTTTATCTATACGATGAATTACATCTGTGATCATTACAACTTCTATACGATTGTAACTTTCCACGAATTGAAACTATAATAAGACGTAATTTTTGAACACTTTTAGTAATAAAAGTTTTTATGTAGAGTAATGGCATACAAAAGTACAGGAATGTCAAGTTTAATATATTAAAGTTTAAAACGTCGAATTTCGTGATACACCACGTTGGATGTAATTTATCTTTGCTGGTGATATATCGATGCGGGAACAATGATAAGTAATTCAGTGGGCGTGCATGTGCAAGGCGCGGAAAGTTCGCTGCAAACTGCTCGCCTGAAATATGTGACTTTATCCTGCGACAAAATAAACAGTTACCAACACAACTGCGCACGATATTTCTCTACGCTAAAAGTTTTAATGGCACATTTGTGGCCTAAGCTGTGGCAATTTACTACTCTTACTTTGAATTATTGCGACATTCAAATATATGACGTCACTACTGCATGCTATTGTAAAACGATTTTTTTAATCAAATATATAAATCAGGAAGGAACGAAACGATGATAATTTAATAAAACAAAGTTGTACAAAACGTTCCCTCTTACAAGACAATATTAGAGTAGATTCATCACGTACCCCCGTGTCGTACAAACCGCGAGCTAATCGTTTCTCTCGCTCGCCGGCAGTAAATCAGAGTGAGACGACATTTTTACGATCTCTTAAT